GACAGCACAGAGTGGATACTGTTGAACTTTGGGGGAGTGATAGCTGGAGGAATATTTATCCATCAGCTGAAGACATCTTTTTTATATATATCTCCTCATTTTCACAGTCTTTTTGATAGCTTTTAATGATCAGTTGGCTTTTGTGGTGTTTATACCAGAATCTCTTTATATGGTCCCTCTGTTTCCTCTTCCCACCCTCCCCAGCTGCTGGTTTGTAGGGAAGCCTTCATTCCACCCTTCTTGCAAAGAACATGCAGAATTCATGGTTCAGATTCTGAATTGCCTTCAGTTCAGTTCCCAAATCAGAAATGCATCCCTGAAAATGGAGGTTGGCTTCAGTAGTGCATGTGACACCCATGTTTCCTTCTGTGGGCTCAGAATTGGGGATGTATTCATGGAATGCTGGATTCTTTGAGCGAGTCTCAGCTGAAGGCTCCATGCTGTAGGGATTGCTTCTCTTCCTCCTGAGTCTGACAAAGCCCAAGTAAGTTAATCTCGTGGGGTTCTCATCTGACTCATGTCCTCTGTTTCCCAGCCAGAAGCAGGATAAATTACCCCTCCCAAAGCTCTCTGCTGGCACAGGCAGATTGCTCCCCACTTGTGAGCAAGCTTGGCTGGGATTCAGCCATGGAGTGTGCAGTCCTGCTCTAATAACAGAGCTGCATGCTTTCCTAAAGGCAGATTGATCCTCAGCTGAGTGACAGAGCAGTCATTTGGGTTTCACTCTGTGTAGTTGATTGGGGATATTGTGTGATTTTTGGGTGGACAAATCAGTGCAATTTGGCACAGATTACCTATGTGAGTATTGAGTACAGTTGTTGCCTCTTATTTACTAGTTAAGCTTGTATTTTGGTCATTAGCAGAGTTATGCAGCCACATCTAAAAATAAATATGAAAAGCGTTTTGTTTTTCTCTACTCTTTTCCTAGTTATCTTTAGAGCTTGACACTGCCTGGCACAGAACTTGTACTATGCAGTCTCCAGTGGCCTTTCAGAAAAGCTTTTCAGACTTTGTTGACCCATTTCCTGGATTAGTCTGGCTAAGTTATGGATTATTTTGTCTATTAAGCTTTTTCTTGTGTCCAGTAATTCAAGAATGGCATATTGGCATAATAAGGTATTCAATTAGTTGAGTTTCTGAATCCATGTTTATAACTCTTTACAAACGTCTCAAGAAGTAAGTGGTAATAATTTGATTTCATGCAATTATAGAAGACAGTAGCTTGTCAAGTAGACTTTGTGTTTGGTGGGTTTTTTTTAATCATGCTTAAATAAGTACTTAAATTCTAGAACAACAGGAAGCAGGCAGAATGATACATTTGTTGATGTAGGATGTCAGATAATTTAGTACAAATTACAGATTCTTTAAATACTTGAAAACAGTGAAGGTCAGGAAGCCTCCATTCAAAATTTTCCAGCGTATGTATAATATTTTACAGGATGTCTGTCTGTGGACTGCAAAGGAGTAATCTGTAAAAATCAACTTGTTTGTTGTTTTTCATATTGTCTATTTATGCCCTGACAAATGAGCATCGGATGTAGTGTGGAGTCTGCAGAGCAGCAGAGGGTTCAAGGTTACAGCCAGCCACGATTGTGTCCTGCAGCACGAGGAAACTGGGCTCAGGCTCTCATTTGGAATGGTTTGTTTTCAGTAAACAACTTGGAAGGCTTGGAACAACACCTTGGTGGCTTCCTCACACAGATTCATCAATGGTTTAGAAAAGGAAAGTAATCAAAAGTCCTACTGTTTATAATTTGTTTGATTCTATCAAACAGAAATTTCCCTGGTATTCCTGAAAAGATGCATTTCAAAGTACTCGTGGAGCAATAATTTTGTATTGAGTTAGTGGCTGTCATCTTGAAAATAAGAAAGTTCCAGATTAGCTGTCTGTATTGCACACCTAATTTTATTTATATTATATATTTTATATTCCTCTGTATTGCATACAGAGCATTTAGAGAAAAAAGGAGGAAAGCAAGAGGGAAAGAGAAGGAAAACACTGGTACAAAGAAGCTGTGTGGGCTCTACAAGCTTTTCAGTCAGTGGAAGTGGTTAGCCTGGGTTTTATTGCCCCAGTGTGTTGGATGCTCTCAAGTTTGGTCTCTTGCATACGTTCTGCAAGTAAAGAAGTGTTTTTCTGTAGCTCAGCACTGCTGGGGCTGCATCAGGTGCATCAGGTACATATCCCAGGAAACATTTCAAATTCACCTTCCATGGCCAGTTGGAGTGTAGTGAACAGCTGGGAGACCAGCTCCCAGAATGCAGTGAAAACAAACATGTTTGCACTTTGTGTTCTGCTGTGGGACCTCAAGTTAAGCTGTGGGAAACAGTTGCTGAAAGCAGTCATTTAAATATCAACTTAGAGTGGTGCTGGTTAAGATGCACTGACAAGTGCCTTTGTGGAGTACAAGCTGAAGCTTTATCTGTGGCCACTAAAATGCAGCAAAACCAGATTTAATTTCCCCAGTGAAATGTTGAAAGCCTCACAAGCCATACCATCACTGTGAGTAATTTAAATAAATTTGTGTTCCATTGACTGACATCCAGAAACTTTCTGTAAAAGATGCTGACAAAATCCATTTCTTACAGTGGTAAAAGCAGATAATAATCAGACAGATACACACTTTAACACTATACAGGAACATGAAGATTACCTTTATTATTTATACAAAAGTGTATCATTTTACTAGACCCTAGGAGAGACACTGTCATCTACAACCACTGTGTTCAAATACTGTGAAGTACTTGCAGGTGTCCTCTTTATACATAAGAAAAATTCTGATTTCCTCTTCATTTATGCTTTTTGTTAGTAAAATTTTTGCAGAAGTGTTCAGTTATTATGTACTCTGGAGAACTGAGTATTGTTTTGTGTCTGATGAGGAAGCCTGTATTCAGAAGAGATTTGAAATTAAAAATGCTGATACTGGATAAGTTTTATGACTTTCAAAGGTGTTAGAATTAAAATACTCTTTCTAGACTCTTGAATCATCATAATTCACAGCAAAATAAGATCATATAGCTAAAAGGGCTGGGGTTTTTTCACAGCTTGGTTTCAACTGAGTCTTCTACATCAGTAAATGAATGTTCTAATTCTTTCCAAAACAAAGTTTTAAGTCAGTGACATCCAGAAAGTATTTTAGAACTCTTACCCTTCAGAACTCAGGACTGAAAACCATCTCTTTCAAGAATTTTCAATTTTATTGGAAGTATGTTGATGACAGGAAGGGCTTTTTTAGAGCATTTCATTGTACTGAATATTTTGAATATTTGTGAGGGTTCTTGGTGTTATTTTCCTCAGTAATACCTGCCAAAATGTTGTAGGTTTTTAGAGCTCTGTTTGAAAATCTTTCTATCTGATTGTAGGAAAAAATTGTCAGATGTTTAAGAAGTAGCTATTCCTAGATGTCTTAAGACATTTGGTGTGGAATGAAAGGGAGTGAGAAGCCCAATTGAAAACAAAAACTTAGTTTAAAACAGAAAGTGTACTCCAAAATATTTTTTAATTTTTTTCTGGGAAAGAAACGGGTGGTTCTGCATAAAAGGGGCAGTTTGACTTAAATTTTTTACTGAGATTTTTTTCAAGCAGGCAGCAGTTTCTAATCTTGTGTTCAAAGGACACTATTTCCAGTTCCCTTCTAACCATTCACTGCTGGGTGCTGTTTCATTCACCTGAGGAAACAAATTGGACTTTTTATCATCATCCTTACCTTGTGTGTTCCACAGCAGTTTGTTTTCTACTAGCACAATATTAATTATGCCACTGACAGTAATATCAACCATTTGGAGCAGTAATTCACTGAGCCTTTTAGCAAAGCCCTCTGTCCTCAGTCCTCTCCAGCCTTTGGTTGTGTGAGTTCTGTGGGACTCTTGGAGAATGGAATTGGAAGCACAAGCTGTTATTTTGTGGTTTGACTTCTTTGTCCTTAGAATGAATTCTTCTTTTCCTAAACAACCCTCTCCAAATCTTTGTCCCACTGTGTTTATGGACTGAGCTTTACTCCAGCCAAGAAAATCTGCATACATTATGGAAGAAAAAAAAAGATTTAAAATTACTTTAAAATCCCAAGTGTTAATTGTCATGTGAATATAGTGGCTCTCCACAGTCACACTTCTTTTAGGGGCCATTATTGCTGGATAAGCAGTAGCTTTGGGAAGGTAATGCAGGCTGTCTCACTGATAACACAAGCCATGTCCTCAGGGAAACATCATACATTCCAGCATATTTCAGGAAATTTCATAAATTTCAGCATATCTCACATGTGTCAGGCATGTCTGCTTCTCAGGATGGGACTTTTTTTCTAAAGGAAATATATTTTTGGTTTTCCCTGAAAGCACATGGCTTTGTCTTTTAGGTAAATTACACTGCCTTAAAAAATCCCCAAAAGCATCCCATCATCTGATTCATGAGTCTTACCCCAAATCTAGGGGGACTTTTTAAAACATTCAGATCTTCCTTTAAGTATCTTTCTAATGATGAATACTCTCTTACTGCCCTCTTTTAACCTCTTGACTCCTAGAATGGATAAGGTATGAATGTATTCACTAGGAATCTTTTCATTTTCTTTGGAACTTGGCAGTATGATTTTATTTTTTTTTCCCCTGCTTGGAGCTGCTAAGAGGTTTAGAAGCTAAGCCTGGATCAGTGACCAGAATTGAGTGCTGGATACACAGAAGGCTGTGCAGAAGATGCACATAATGCTGTTTGAAGCCATTATTAAGCATTGCTGGGATTTGTGCTGAGAAGTGGAAATCCTTGCAAGTGGTATTGAAAGGGAGATGTAATACAGTATATCTAAAATGTAGAAATACATTCAGATGGTATTATAGCAAGAACAGAAGCTGCACGAGTCAAATAAAAGGTAGAAAAACTTGAAACTTGGCAATTTATGTGTTTATCATATGCTTTTTGAAAATCCCTCCAGGAAATGGTACATTTTAATGTAATTTTGAATTTTTTGGCATGTTGTTACAGGTCTTTCTTATTATTTTATTTTTTCAAGGAATCCAAAATGTACTCAGCTTATTCTGTGCCGTGCTTACTGAAAATAAGGTTCTCTTTCACTCAGCAAGTTTTCAAAGGCTCAGTGATGCCTGTAGGGCTCTGGAGTCTTTGATGTTTCCTCTCAAATACAGGTGAGTTAAGTTTGCTTTCTTTGAACTTGTTAAATAATTTTATAACTCATTTTATAACTTCTATTACAAACACGAATACAATTTATTACAAAAACAAGTTACTTGGATTTTTTTTTTCCCAGACAAAAGGAGTTGTGCTATAGTTGGTAAAATAAGCAAAGCTATTAATGATGCTAATCCTGGTGTGTGCACATCATTAATAAAAATCTGGTTGCATCGTGGCAGTGGAAACAATGAAGGGAGAAATTCCACCTGCAAATGTAGGGTAGGAACACTCCTCACAATCCAGAACATTCTGTAGCTCAAAGACAGCAGCTACATTAGTGTATGTCAGTTTTAAGTCACTGACAAATGTCCACCAGAGAATGAATTTAAGTCAATAAATCCTCTCTGAAGTCAACTGATCCTCTCTAAAAAGCCACAGGTGGATCCAGAATTTTGAAATGGAAAACTTAATGTCAATCAATTTGGTTTTTTTTAGGAAGACAACATCTAATTCCGACTCACCTGTTTCAAACTATGCTTGTATTTTTGTATTTTTAATAGCTTGTTTTATTTAAAATACTTCAGAGATTAGCTTCATTATAATACAGAATAAGAAGGAAGAACTGGAAATTGAGTTTTGGAATATGTTTCTTAATGTTTAACTAATAATAAATGTGAACTTCTAATAACTCTAAATTAGGTGTAGAAATTCACTGATCAATTTAGATGCAGCTCTTGATGTTGTTCTGATGAACACACAGAGTTTTTTAAATTGTCAAACCAGGTAAACAGTGCCTGAAATAGTGTTGTTTAGTTGTCATTTCAAGATGAAAGCAAAATATTTCCTTTATAGACTTCTTATAAAACAATATTTTACAAAAGGCTGAAGTGCTGGTGTATGGCCACAAATGAATCATGTTTTTAAAATTAAGGTATTGTTTATAACTTAGTGCACCTGACTACTAACAGGAAGATTTTTTTAAGAAAAAAAGTTGCCTTATGTGAAAGGATACTCCTAAGCTTTTATTCTGTTTAATTTCATCTTTTCACAGTTATCCCTACATCCCAATTCTCCCTGCCCAGCTGCTGGAGGTTCTCAGCTCCCCCACGCCTTTCATCATCGGGGTGCACTCTGTGTTTCGCAATGACATCCATGAGCTGGTGGGTACTGCTGCCCTCCCAGCCCAGAGCCTGCCCTGTGCTCAGCTCTGAGCCCTCCTGGGGGCTTTGGAGGTGCTTCTGGGAATAATTCACATCTCTTCAAAATATTACTCTAAGAAAGCGAGACAGTCAGGGGAAGAAAATAGAGAAAAAGCATAATTTTTTTTTTTTTGTGCATTGAGACTGTAAAGTAGAGGGAAATGATTTTGATTCTGGTGCCAGAGGGGAAGGAATGGATCCATTTCTGGATTTGTCATCTATTTGTCCTGAGTTTGAGCAATTCACTTAGGATTTTCAAGTGCATTCTCAATTGTTTTATTTTACCCTTTTTAAGTATGTGTTTGGAGAAACTGATCCAGGGTTGCAAAAGGTGCTTAGAAACATGAAATTTTACTTCTAGTTGCCCTCACTGTGTTCCTTTGCAAACAGCTTATAAGATATCTCATGTCTCTGAACACAGACCTGGAGTATCCAGAAACAAAAGTCACTTTTGAAAGTTTAGCCTAATTTCATTTTCTTTGGTTTAATTTCATTTTTCAGGGCTAGATTCAGTAATAGAAAGTATTTGGAGTATTTCCTGTATCGAAAACATTCTGTACATTAAAGTTGGTACTGTTTTAATTTGTTTTAGTAAACTTGTGTGCAGATCATTGTTCAGAAATTTGAACTGTTGTGTTTTTTTTAAGCTATGCTCACTGTATGCACTTTTACTATTTGTCCCTTACAGTTAGATGTAATCATAGCAGACCTGGATGGAGGAACAATTAAAATTCCTGAATGTATTCATCTGTCCCAGCTGCCAGAGCCACTGCTACACCAGACTCAAATGGCACTTTCTCTGGTATGTTTAGATAAAATCCCCACATTTCACCCTCTCACCTATTTGTAAAGAATGAAAAATTTCAATATTAAGCTTTCAAGCACACTGGAAATGAGATTTAATAGAATGATTCATGCATCATCCCTGTTTTTAGAAGAGTTAATTCTGTGTAGTTCAAGTTGGTATCATCAGTAATGGAATCTAAAATGTCTTTTCACTGTTCAAGAGGTAGAGATTTTTCCTTTGTAATGGTTTTTAATAAGAGTATTTGAGCAACATTATTACTACTCAGTTCTGCTCCCTTTCTATGTTTATAAATTCATTTCAACTGTACATTTTCTTGAAAATTAAAAAATTAATAACCCTTTAAATTTTATCTTTGTTATGCCTCTGTTTCAGAATTTAGGAATGATGGATTCTACATTAGTGAATTGCCATAAAAAGTACATCAGTTTGTCTTTTTGCTATCATTGTAATAAAATAGAAATCACCTTATTTGGAGGCTTCTGAGCAAATCTTATCTTAAATAGAAGAATTTTTATTCTCTTAATCTGTTTCAGCTGCCTTGACTCTAAAATCCCTAATGGTATTGATCAGTTTCATGGACTGTGACAGGAGTTTTTGATAACTAACTCACATATAGAATCCTGAAGCTGAGAAGTTAATTCCATTTTTATTTCCATACAGTGTTCACAGTTTAACTCAATTTATTATTTGAGGTACTCAATGTCAGTGAATTTGAGAAAGGAAAAAAAAAAGTCTTTTTCTCAGCAAAATGAAGGAAAAAAGATTATATTTTCAAAATTCTCTAGGTTTTGCATCCTGATTTGGAAACAGCAGATTATGCATTCCCTCCCCCACGAACAGCTTTATCACACTCAAAAATGCTGGTAAGATTTCTGTCTTATTTTCTGTGTCTGACTTTCATAAGTGGAAAACTGTTGAAATTTTAGACTAGTAGCTTCCTTTTAAGAATTTATGTTTGCTTTCATCTATACTATATCTATACATACTATACTATGTATTTATAGTTTTACTGGTGGAGCTAGAGAAATGCATTTTTCCCTCTAATATCATTCTGATGGGTTAGAAGTTTTATAAAATCCAAAAGCCAGTTCAATTTAGGAACACACATATGAGCTTTTTGGGTAGAGATGTGGATTATGTGAATAGGTGAAACTCTTAGGTGGTACAATATATTTGTTGTACTTATTTCTGCCTTTAAGATTGGGATTTTTCATTGCTGAAGACAGGGAATGTCATCCAGACTTAATCTAAACTAATGGAAGAATTCAGCTAAGATCTCAGTTTGAATAGGAAGGTTTCAAATTAATATGATTTTGTATCAAAACAAGAATTTTGTGAAATTTGAAGAAATTACCATGTTTTCAAATAGTCAAAGAAGTCAGGGTACAAATGCACCTGTTAAAATCCGAGAGAGCAGGAGAAAATGAATATGTCTGTCAGTAAAGGGAGCCATACAAAATTTAAGTTAAAAATAGAACAACATGGATCATGTTCCAGTGCAGAATAAACAACCATCTAGTAAAATACTCCAATAATATATTCCAGCTTTATATCATTTTATGTATTCCTTTTATCTTTAAAAATAAATTCCAGGCTGTAATTTACTTAATTTGGTTGTTACTTAACTGATGAGCTGGTTATCTGATAGTAAATACTGTGTGTAATATTTAAAATTACAGTTTGTAACATAACACCATAAAACCTGAGGTAATAAAGGAATTCTTGGGATCTCAGGGTTTTTGAGATGGCTGCTGAGATAAAATAACAGGGTGGCCCAGGATTTGATGTCAGTCTTTAGTGGCACCTGGGCAGGTGGAGATGTCACTGCCCCAGCTGTTCACATCATTTCCATTAATCTGGTGGTGTGTATTTAAACACTCTCTTAAATAAATAATCCAAGACTTTAAGGCCCTGCTATTTTAAACTTTTTACAGTAACTGGTGGCAGCAGCAGCAGTGCCACCTCAGGCTCCTGCTATTCCCTGCTGCCCCTGCCTGTGTAGTGCTTCAAGCCACAGTTACTTTAGGGAATGAATCCAGGCTAAAATAGCCTTTTTTCCTTTATTTCACATCAGGTTTCTCTCATGGCAGCACATCTGAGTGGTTCAGGACCTGAGCACCCCTCAGCCCCCTGGCTTTGCCCAGAGCCTGTGCTGCAGGCACAGCCAAGACCAGCAGGGGTGGAGGGTGGCTGTGTACAGGGTCTGCCATGGCCATCTGGGGACAGGGCAGGGCATCCTGGTGGCCATTAAGGTCCCTTCCAGTCCCAACCATTCTGTGACACAACCTCATCCCTGTGCAAATATCTCTGCTTCATGTGCTGCACTGCTACACTCATGGAGCTGTAGGCATTTCTCATACAGATTCCTACAAAGTTTGGAGAAATTTAGGGTGTGAGGATGCTTTGACAATTCAATTGCTGCTTGCAGGACAAAGAAGTGCGAGCAATCTTCCTCAGGCTGTTTGCACAGCTCTTCCAAGGATACAGGTCGTGTCTGCAGCTGATCAGAATTCATGCTGAACCTGTCATTCACTTCCACAAGGTAAAGGAGGAGCAGTTCTGTGTATTTATGGTGTTCCTTTGTGCCATGTTATTCCCACAAGCCTGCCTTTTGAACAAGTGGTGAAGTTTAAAAATGTAAATAAAGTTATCTCCATGTGATAAGAACATCATTTTGGCATAGCACAACATCAGTCTGTTTTAGTGGGACTAATTGCAGGGACAGGACAGAAATGTACAACAAAGTTAACACTGAAATTTAATACAAATAAATATTTGAGGAATCACTGTGGAATTTTGAAAACCTCTTTATGTAATAACACATTACTTGAAGGTACTACTTTTCTCTTTTATTACCTGTGAGATTTAAAAAATGTGTGCCTCAAATTTCAAATTTTTAGGTATAAAAAGGTACTATGTACAGTAGAAAATTGAGTTAGAAAGTACCACTTACTAGTATAAGCTGATAGGCCGGTGAAAATGTTTAACTAATATATAACAGTTGTTTGTAATTGCAAGTTTGATGCTGATTAAAAAAGGTGAATTTTTTTCTGTTTTTGTTGCAGGCAGCCTTCTTGGGCCAGCGAGGCTTAATTGAGAATGACTTTCTAACCAAAGTCCTCAATGGAATGGCATTTGCTGGCTTTGTGTCAGAGAGGGGTCCTCCCTTCAGAACCTGTGATCTTTTTGATGAGGTGAAAACTGTTTCTGTATTCCCAAGTAAATTACAATTTACTGTGATATTTCAGCATGGGAAAACTACTGGAATGCATCTGAGTCCCCAGTGTTTATTGGATCAAGTTTATACTAATCACCTCAACTCTTATTTTCTGCTAAGGAGATATTTCTAGCTTACTTCCATAAAATTACCCCATTATATGTATGAAGTTAAATAGTTGTATAAATTTTGGTAATGCTCTTCCTGTTGTCAGATCTGCAGCTTCACAATACATTGCATGTGCTAGTACAGAATTATTTTCAGTAATTTAATTATATTCTCTGAAATGTTAACAACCTCACAGAAAAATATTACATTAAATGCATATCCAAGAATGTATACTGAGACAAAAAATTTCATTTTAAAAAATAATGTTGCAGTTCTTTTACTGTGTTGGTTTTGAGTTCAAGGTAGAGTAAAAATAGAGTGTGATATTAATTCTGTGTTGTAGTAGTAGTACCTATGGGAAATTTGGATTGAGGTATAGAAATGTGACAGGACTGGTTTAGGTATGCAGGACTTTCTTTCTGTCTGGTAACAAATGCTGCACATGGAACTGAAAATGTCTGATGTTCCAGAGCAACATGGCCTCACACATTTTTCAGTGCTCAGCTTTCTTTCCTTGGTTTCAATTTAAGATTAACATTTCATAACTTAAATAGGAAATAATTTTTTTAGTTGAATTATCAACATTTTTTATTCTTTCTTCTTTTAAAAAAAGTTGGTGGCCTTTGAAGTCGAAAGAATTAAAGCTGAAGAGGGCAATCCACCAAAAATGATAAAGCATGTCAGAGAACTTGCAGAACAGCTCTTCAAAAATGTAAGTTGTCTGTACCTGCTGCATCTGGAGAGTTGAGATGGTAACATTGAAAAATCTGATTTCTCAGATTGAGCCAGAAAATGGAAGTGAATGCTTGTGGTAGTCATCATCTACATTATGGCAAAATTTAAAGATTATTAAATTTGTACATGCAAAGTAAATTCATTGTAATACCAGTGGTTTATTAATGCTAATATTGATTTAGATATAGCTACAACTACTTATCTGTTTTTAGTGTGTATTCACATAAGGTCTGTAAACTGCTATTTTTCATGGCTGCAACCTGTCTATGCCAAATACATCTCTTTTCTTGCTTGTCAACAGTTTTCCATGTGAAAATTATACATTTATAATGTGTATTATATAATATATATAATACATATATATTATACAATGTGGCCTAATGTGTACTTTCAGCAGTTCTCTCCTGACCCAGTCACCCTGGTTTGCATGCTCAGCAGGCATTATTTCATTTTTCACAGCCTGTTTCTTGAACAACTCCATTTCCAGTTTAATTTTTGCCTTCATATCATGTTTATTTTACAAAATGCTTTTATAAAATCTCTTACCATTCCTTTAGCTGGTTCTGGGGTTTTTTTGTTTGTGGGTTTTAGATTTTTTGTTTGCTTTGAGGTTTGTGGGCTTTTTTGGCATAGCATCTTGATCTCCCTCCCCCTCACACTTCTGTGGTTATTCAGACTCCACAGAGCATTATCTGGTACACCATCAGCTGACACCTTTGTCACCCTTTCTTTTCTACATCCCACTTTCCCAAAACTGTGGTTTACATCTACAATTCTGAAAAACAGCCCACAAGAGCTACCAAATGCTGCTAAGTTCTGGGGTTTCTTTTGTGTTCTGTATGTCTTTTCTGATGATGAGATTTATTTATACCATTGTGATTGACCTGCTCCTTCACTACCACTAAGTCAGTGACTTCACAGGAGCACACACTGGTATTCACTAAATCTATGACTTTGTGCATTGAGAAGTCAGAGTTCTGGTAGTTTGTGCATGCACCTGTTTTGACTGAACATAGGTGATGGTAACACTGCTCAAGCTGTGCCTAGAGCTGCCTGATTTTAAACAGACAGCTTGTTGTGTTTTGACATCTTGTTTCACAGTTTTAATAATCACAGTATTGTAGCTGTGACAGTTCAGATACAAGGGAGAGACAAGGTCTGTTGGTGAGAGATAATGTCTGCATGAGTCTTGCTGCTATAGGTGGACAATCCAAGGCATTAGACCTTCCATTAGCCCAATAGCATGGACATCTGACATGACATTTGTGATGTTCAAGATAAAAGTAACTTTCCCTGTGTATTTCCTCTGAATCTCTCCTCTCACTGAAATGGATTTTGGAGCAGTTACTCCTTTTCTGGAGTTTTCTGCCCTCTGTCTTCTGTTACTCCCTCCTGAATCTGTGTTCCCTTTCTCTTTCTTGCCTCCTCTTGCATCTGCTGCTCTCATGCCCCCAGATTTTTGGCTTGTTCCAAAAAATTTTCCTTTGCAGAGAATGCATGTGGCTAAGGAGCTGCTCTGTTTTGTCTGCTGTTTCTCAAGTTGATGCACTTGATCTCCTTGTTGCCTTTTGCTCCTGTAAACAACAGTATTAAGCTCCTGTTTACAAGTTTTCTTCCAAACTTACTGTGCATTTACAGAGAGCCCTCATTGATGGATAGCACTCTTTGGCAGTGGTATGTAGCCAGTAATGGGTAACAGCATAGAGTCAAATTGGACAGCAGCAATTTCAGATGTGATTAATGGTAACCCCAGAATAACTGAATGAGGAGATGAAAATACCCCATTTTTTTTGATTACTGCACCCCTGAAAATGTGAGCTGTCATCCTATGCATGGTGGTAGATAATCTCTCTAATGAAGAGCTTGACTGTCACACCAGCTTATATTCAAGTCCTTAATATTCATAAATTTGCATAAAATCAGCATAAGTTAAGCAGGGATTTTCTTTTGCTCTTGTTTTGAATTTTTCACGATGACAAAAGAAGTTTATAAAAGCCTTTAAGAAAGTTGGAAATATTAAAGTTAATGAGTCAAGGGCAATATGACTATGAAACATTTTATCAATCATCTGCATTAGATATTTGACTTCTTAATCTTTCAAGTATGGGAGATTGTCCAAGCAGCAGCAAAACTCGATGGGGCAGATGGTATCACTGCAGGACTGCTTTGGTGTGTGACCCTTTGCTCTTGCCCTGCAGGAGAACCCCAACCCCCACATGGCGTTCCAGAAGGTTCCGCGGCCCACGGAGGGCTCGCACCTGCGCGTGCACGTCCTGCCCTTCCCGCGCATCAACGAGGGCCGCGTGCAGGAGCTGCTGCAGGAGGGGCTGGCCAGGAGCCAGGGGGCGCCCCCTGCCACCCGGGGGGACAAGAAGTGCGTGGTTCCAGCAGGTCCCCCCGTGGGTATGTTCATTTGTGCCCTGTGCTGCCTGGTTCTCATGGGTGATTGGCATTTCTGCAGCGTGGTGCTCCCAATTTCGTGTTCATATTGTGGATTTAGTGATCGTGGCAAACTCTGGTGCCTAGACTCCAGTGTTTGCCTTTGCCATTCTGAAAGCCCTTTTTTGTCTGCCTTTACTAAGACAGATATTATCTGCTGCCTTCTTTACTAAGAAGTCAAGCATCCAGAGAGTGATGGGTGTAACTGCTAACAACAACAGTGGATTTGATCTGAATTAGAGTTTGAGTTGAACAATTAAACTAGATACTGAGTTAAACAATTAACTAGATGTTGAGCTGAACAATTAAACTAGATATTTAGGCCTGTTAAATATCAGCATAGGTCACTTGTAGCACTGGCTGAACCAAGCTTTGAACCGTTTGAGTTCCTCCTCTGATACCCAGTAAAAGGCATGTAAATTACTGGAAAAAGGCAAAGAGCAAAGATAACATCTGTGTCAAAAGAAATATGCCTATATTTAAGCATAAAGAGCAGATGTGGACATTGTAAGCCTGTCATTTTCATTTTAATGCCAGAAAGTTCTATTACTCATAGTCACACTCATCAATGTGGATGGTGGCATAAACCAGTATGATTAGTCAACTTGCACGTGAAGAGCTTGCAAAACTTTTGAAGGATGGGCTAAGAATTCAAATCCATCTTTAAAAATTACATGTCTAACCACGAGACTCCAATGAATTCTTTCCTTCTCTACTGCTTTTCTTCAAATAGGGTATGGCACTTGCATAGGCAGACTCGCCTGACTAGGCAGCAGCTCTTCAGAAATTAATTTGGGAACTTTAATGACTGTAGGGCAAACATGACCCAGCTATATCAAGCTACTGCAAAAAAGCCAAACATCTTAGTAGGATGTATAAACAGGAGTGCAGTCAGTGAACCCCATGGAGAAATCTTTTCATTGTGCTCAGTAAGACCTCAGCTGGATGTTTGTGTCCATGTTTGGACACTGGAAGACTGTCTCCATTTTTGGTTCTGTTGGAGGGAGTCCATAAGAGAGCAACAGGAATGACCAGTGGTCCAGAGAATGTGACCTACAAGGAATGATGGGGAGTTGTTTAGACTGAAGACTAGGAGACTGAGGGGACACAGAATAGCAGGCTTCAATTATACAAGAGACAGTGAGAAAAAGAAGGGGAATAATCTGTAATGATAAGAAATAATGGGTTTAATTGCAGCACAAAAATAGAGTTATTTGTCAGCAAGGCATGGTAAAATGAGGATGGTGAGGCAGTTGAGTGGATTTCTTGTGCAGCCATGGAGTCTCTCTTATCACAGAACATTGGGAACATATTAGACAAACATGAGAAATAACATAAATAGAGTTGATCCTGTCTAGGGACAGCAGGGTGAACTAGATGGCCTCTTGAGGCCCTGCCCAGGCCTGTTCCTCTTTGGGTTTATGCAAGAAGAGGATGAACTCTCTTCACCTGCCTTTGCTGTTGACTGTATCATTGAATCTGATACTTACAGAAAATTTAAAGGATGTGTGGTTATGTTCTGTTGTCTTTCTTCAAAAGGCTAGTTGCAGGAGAAGGGATTTTTTTAAAATAAATTAATTTCTGTGTCAAAGCAGGGAGTTTGCTGGTCTTTTCCTGAGGAACAGCTTTCACTCTTACACTCCCTGCTGAGCTGTGTCTCAGAATCCTTGGATATAAGTAGCTCATTATTACCTACTAGAGAGGCATGTCCTGAATTTAGATACTATTTATTTGATATTATAAAGAAAAAGAGAATGTTAGTTCTTGCTTTCTGAATTTTGTTGAAAAATCAGGGCAGAAGAGTGGATTAAGAAAATGAGATCTCAACAGTTTGGAATCAAGATAAGAGAACAGGTTTGTCAGGTTAAATTCCATGTTGCAGAATTCTTGTCATGGCCATCTAAAAATAGTTATCTACTGCTACAAAATGTGCAAGGCTATGTAACTCGCTGCAGATCACACACATTTATTATTAATTTGTGTTTATTTATGTATTTCATCAGCATGTTAGAGGTTATAATCTCTTTGTGCCTGTATGAGACAACAAGAACAAACAGTTAAGAGAATCAACCAATGCAGTTACAATTCAGAGCACTCTCCTTTTCAGATGGAATAGGAAAACCAGAGATTTGGGATCTTGTGTTCCCATCTGCCTGCAAATGGCATTTGCCTAACAGAATAAAAGGGAGGACACAGTAATTATTTTCTTGAAGAAATTTGTGGTATTCTTCGTGGTTCTTGCAGGCATTTCACAGATGTATATTCTTCTTTTTCTTTGTTAGTTTCCATAATGGAAAAAGGAAGCACAGTTTTCAACAGTGCTCAAAGGCTGGAAGTTGTTAGAAACTGCATCGCGTTCATTTTTGAAAACAAATTTCTGGAGACTGAAAAGGTAATAAAATGAAATTTTAATTCTCCCAAATTACTCTCTGTTCTGTTAATGAGCAAATGGAGACTGGCCTAATCACAAAGTACATTTTGAAGTCTTGTTACAAATGCTAAGGATTATTTTGGCCATTTAAATGAATGAAGTAAGCAATAAAAATCATCATCTAAATACAATATTGTGTGTAATATGAGGCTAATGGATTTGAAAACCTGTTTCTAATCCTACATGGGTGAGTTGAAAACCCTTTTTGCAAAATTCATTACTGTTATAAGTAGCATTGTCCACATAACTCTTTTTTAAGAGGTGGATGTATATTGGTCTAGCAGCATTAATTAGAAGGAATGCAAACAAAAGGCATACATATGTGCTTTGGTGTTTAACAGCCAATGTTCCTTAGAAATTTTCAGTACAGTCAATTTTGCTGGTTTTAAAAGCCAGTAATTTGATAGAACTCAGAGATGAATATAAATATTTGGCATGTCTGCCTTCACTGAAATGTGCTAGTGAATTCTTATCCCTGACATTCTTATTTTCTCTTCACTGAGAAGTTGCCAGGTTTTGTAGATTCTGTCCATAGAGTTTTCTGTTATTGATTGTAGAACAATCTCTCAAACTTACAATCAAATCTAATTCTACATTTGAAAATGACTGTAAAATTATTTTAAGAAATTTTTTGACTTCTACAGTATCACCTGTATATCTGTGATGCTGTGCAGATCAAGATAGAAAATGAGCTTTGCTTGATTTACAAGTTATGGTGTCAAAATGCACATGGGAAAAGTCCTAATCAAGTGTGTAACGCTTTTAGAGTTTTCATCCCAGCAGAGCACAGTAGTTTTTAACCTCATTCAACTTCCAGACACATGGGCAAGTTCAGTGGGTTTTTTGTCCTTCTACATGGTAAATTTTTCCTTAGCAAATAGGCTGCCTTTTCTTACTTACCTGTTACCTTCAGCCTAAGGGGCCACAGCTGGTAATCACTGTTGTAGCATTTGCTGCATCTTTCAAACCTTGATATAAATACTCTGGTGGCCCTGGTTTAGGATAAACTGCATGACAATCTAGTGGCCTCACTGCTATGAGAGCTATGCCACTGCTAAACCCATGTGTCATTCATTGCTTATCCCAAAATCTGCTGCTCAGCCTTGACAGGCAAACTCCAGTCTTGGCCTGGCTGTACAGAACAGAGCACTTGCTTTCATCCACAATAATCCATTTCTGATTTCACATCCATTAATGCCTGTCCACATTAAAGGATTTCTACTTACAGATGTAGGTGAGAAATGCTGTTTAATATATTTGGAAAAAAAAAGGGAGAAATTTAGTACTTGGTAGCTCAGGCTAAATCAGCCATGATGTGAAAGTTTGATAGTCAAGCTAAAGGATAATTTCCAGAGTTGTTCTTTGCTGTCACTTGCAGTTTCTTAGTAAAACATGAATGCTATTCAGTATGAGTAGTGCCACTGAATTCCATTTCCATCAGTGAGATGTTGCTCTCTGCAGACCCTGCCTGCAGCTCTGCGAGCCCTGAAGGGCAAAGCAGCTCGGCACTGCCTGACACAGGAGCTGGGCCAGCACGTCAAGGAGAACCGAGCCATCCTGGACCACCAGCAGTTCGACTACATTGTCAGAATGATGAACTGTGCTTTGCAGGTACAGCATGGCAGGGCTTTGGCCTTGATTGTCTTTCTCTTCTTTAGGATTAGGATAAGCAAAATTGCTTAGAGGAGCAAATTTGCTTCTTGTGGAGAAGCAAAATAATTAAATTACTCGAGCGCATCCTACAGTGATATAGGAGATACTGCTTGATGGTGGATTGAAGATATTTTGTGGTTGAAAGAATAAAACACTCAGGTCTGTACAGATCTGTCTGATATGACAAGCAGAAAAAAAACTGTTCCCATTATTAATAATTTAGATACAATTTAGTTTTGATAGGTAGTCAAATGATTTAACTTAATGGCTTGAAGTGCTTTTTTTTTAAATGAGTGGGTCTTGGCTTTTCCAGGTCAGTTTCAACCCAGAGTTCCTAAAATGTGTATCAACCACTGGTCACTTAAAAATCCCAGAAGTTTGCCTTCCTTGTTTAAACAGAGTTTAAGAAAGCATAGTTTCTGCTTCCGTGGCTCATGGTGGCAGTTCTGATGTCACAGTTTGTCAGAAACTCACTGCAAGTGCTTGCAGTTCATCTCCAAAGTTAATTCTACTGACAAATTATTATGTGCTGAATAAGCATCAACACATGGGTCAGCTGCCTATGAAAGCAAAATATGTGGGTGACTTCTTTTGACTTTCATTTCAATATTTGGTCTTTTTTACCTTCACTTGTTCTCAATTCATTATCTGAAATATTTTATAGTCTTAAATGTTTTCTTACATTTCTCTTGTTTTCTTACATGTCTCTTGTCTGAGAATGTAGAGGTATTTTTATTAATTTGTAATGTGATCACATTTGGTTATAATTTTTCTTTTGTTGACCCTAAGATACTGTATCAAATTAGGGACTTGATGGAGGCCTTAGTATTTTAATCCCACTCTCCTCAAACCTAAAACCCACTGAAATTATTCTGCAACAATTTATAAGAGGTTGACCCACATTTTTTAAAAGGTGAGTGCTAAATGCCACTTTCACTGAAGTGTAGAAATAAATTAACATTGACTGAGCAAATGCTACCTCAGGTCACCATCAAATGCAAGTTTTGCTGTGTGTTGCACTTCTTGTTTGTTCACAGTAAGGTATTTTTCTACTGTTGTGAAAGAAGTCCATCTTTGTCTGAGCAGTGTTCTTAAAAGCAAAACTACTGCAGTCAGCAGATGAAAACTGAAGTTGACTGGCTAAACTTACACAGCACCTAGAATCTGCTTTTTGACACAGTTCTTCACCTTTTCCAAGTCCTAAAGTTAGCCTTAGAATTGGAAGAAAAATTGAATTTATCTGTGAAACTCCATTTCTCTGTCCAAGATCATGACTAATGGAATATTGCACCTGCTGTGTATTCCAGAGTTAGAAATTGTCTTTCAAACCAGAAAGCAGGATTGTCTAGACATGTCACAGATTTTGCTCCTACTTTTTCGATCATTCCTTGGTTAAAAAAACATCCAGCTCTTTTTAGAAAATAGGAACAAAATACAAATCCCCTTCATTTCTGTATCTTAGAAAAATTACAGCAGAAGAAAATGAAATTTGCTTTTCTGAGGAGAGAAATAGTAAAATAGTATTAAAAGGACATCACCTTTTGATAAAATAATTAAAGCCAATTTTGCTCTGGAAGAAAAGCTTTTTTTTCCCATCTTGGTGATCTGAAGGCCCAAGAAAGAGCTCAAGTTCAAGGAAATGAATGTGTCTGAAGAGTTACTGAAATTAAAATAGGCTTGTTTTTCTTCAATAAAAATTAGGCTTATTTTTCTTCAATAAAACTAGTAAATATAACTCAAATCATGCAGGAGAAAGAGATCAGGCACAGTTTTTATGCCTCCCTCCCCCCACCAACAGTATTTTCATATCTTTGAAAATATGAAATGAAAGTTTTCATTTCTCAGAAGTAAGCATGGCCAACATGAAAACATCTGAACTCCTGACACTGGGCAGTGAGTTGGAAGCAAGTATTTTTAACATCTACTTTTATGACATATGAAGTTATTTATTAAGATAAAAACATGATTTATAATTTGTCTGTGCACTTTGCTCAAGTGTGGTATTTGAAACAATGTGTAAATTGTGACATTTTGGAGCTTCCCTGTATCAATTCAAGAAAAAAGCACTTTATTGAGAACTTAAATAAGTTTGCCCTTGCTGCAGTGGGATGCACCAAGTCAGCATTTTGCTGTAGACACATGAATTCTGTTAGCTGCAGGTCATAGGACCAAGCAATGTAAGCAGTGTCTGTTAAAAGACACAAAAATCTAATTTAAGAAATGTGGTCTTAACTAGAGATGTAGTGAAGCTTTAGGGAAATACCACATTAATTATGGATGGGGTTTTTGGGCAGAGTTAGGTTGCAGTAGGGCTTTCAGACCTCACTCAACTACTGGCATTGTAGAAACTGCCTCAGTTCTACCACCAGAGTTTTCTGTTCATGATATTGCACATTCCCCTTGGCTTCTGCAAGATGGAAGCTGAAATCCTGCTGAGGCTGGAGCACGGAGAGGAGGGGAAGGGAATGCCCTGGCAGGGTGGCAGAGCCCTGGCTCCTGCTGGACACACTGGGTGAGTGGGGACCTGTGTGCAGCCAGCTCCAGCCCCATGGCTGGCCCTGGGGCACTCCAGTCTCACCTGCTCATCCAGCTGGGAAAGCTGATGCTCTCCAGCCACCAAACCTCTGCTCATGATAAGATGAATTGTTGCAAGCTCAGCAAGTCAACATTTTGCTGTAGACTCGTGAATTCTGTTAGCTGCAGGTCGTAGAACCAAGTAATTTAAGCAGTGTCTGTTAAAAGACACAAAAAATAAACAATTTCAAGAGATGCAGGTTGGCCATTTCTGGGAGGCCTTTTAGATTGAATTCTTTGTCTTACTGTGAAGTGCCAGGTGTTACAAAATGAGGAAGATTGCACTCTGCAAGTCTAATGCAGAGCCCTCCATTGCTAGTCAAGATTTTTCTGATTGTCTAGTGGCAGGTTTTTTCATTTAATTTTGTGGACTCCACTTTTTTAGTGGAGTCCACAAAAATAAAGGTCAGATGCTTTTTCAGAGCTCCTGTATACTCATTTTGTGCATGAAGAGCAGTATGTTAACAAAATGCTTGTGGTAATCCCACCAGGTATATTTTTGCTGTCTGTCTCATGTCTGTCTGGCTTGAGAAAAGATTAAGGAAATGGAATAGATTGCTCCTACTATTGCTTCAAGTGCATAGCTGTTTGGTTTGAGTGAACAATTCCATAGGCTGTATTTCCCCAAGGATCTGATCTAGCTTTTTGCAGCTGGGAAGAAGGGAGGGTGGTATTTTACCAGTTTCTCTAGGGATGGCAAAACTTGGATTTGCCGCTTCTCTGGTGGTTATCAGCTTGAGTTCTCTCAGTCCAAGAGGGGCATTGTTTTGTTTTAAAGTGTTGTTCTTTCAACTGATAACAGGTAGAACCTGCAGATTTTAATAGGCTTATGATTTGTGGAATAGTGCTTTAGAGTTTCATGTTAATCTGCCTTCTTTAGCACCTGTGGTAGAATACAGGAGGCTTTATAAATAAAATTAAAGTGAAGTATGATGCAGCAAGTCAGTATTCAAGTGTTAAACATGCTCTTCTGTGTCTGAGAAGTATTGGCAATTACTGCTGCTGAAATAGAAATGAGAGAAGTATTTCTGATAGAATTTAGTAGTAGGAAGACCAAAATTACATGGAGATTGTAATGGTCATGAATTAAAGCAAAGACCTTCTGATAAGGGCAGTTAAATCCCCAGTCACTTTATTTTATCTCTGCTAGGAGTTGTCCCTGACCACTTGCTGAAAACTTTGTTGTCATGCCCTGAGTAAGACTTTTTCCCCTGAAAAATCATGTACTGTGGCAAACATTTAAATCAGCCTGTCTCACCAGAGTGATTATTACCTTTGATAGAGGAGCAGGAGCATTATGTTCTGTTCCATAGGTTGTATGTCTAAGCTACTGTTAAAAAACCTGAAGTGTTGTGAAAGCTTAATATTGATTGACAATTCAGTTTATTCAAACAGATACTACTGCAGATAAAAATGTGGAATTATAGCTCTAAACACTCAGTCAAATTTGTTTTCCTCTGCTGTGGTTACCTCAGAAAAATTTGCAGTTCCACATAAATTGCTATTTCAAACATTTTTCTTTATGTTTTAATTTTCTATGATAACATTTGCTGACATCTCCGAAATAAATACTTAACTTTTTTTTTGCAACTAAAAAGCCTTTTTTTTAGCAGGGAAGCACTTCTATACAACAACACATTTTATTTTTAATACTTGTTCAGAATTTGTGGCAGAAACCATCTCAAGGCTCTATTTGCGTATTTCTCTATTCATTTATTGCAGTCATAACTTGTCCAGAATTTCAGTTGTCTCTCTAACTTTCCTCTGGCAGCAACAAGGGAACACTGTATTTTGAAATGTAGTTGCACTTAATTTGATAAATTAAATGGTAGTAACAGCAAGAAGAGGCCTGAATACACTGTGGGGGTGGTATTTGATAACCTGAAATGATTTTGATATTAAAAAGACATTCAAAGCAATTTGCATAAAATATTTAACAGTAAGTCTTCCTAAGAAAATTCATTTCTGGGGAAAGATTCTCTTCAGATAATGCAGGACACCTTTGTTGGGTAGTTGGAACAGATAAAATTTCTTGTTTCCAAGGAAGAGCTCCAGGATGCTGCAGTACAGCACTGCCTCTCTAAGATGTTGGTCAGTAATATTGCCTTGCTGCATATTAATGCTTTTGTTTGGCAAATGTGAGTCAAATTGGAAAACACATCTGCCCCAGACATCTGGATTTTCAATCTAAATGTGGTTCAAGTGGAAAAATTGTGCATAAAGCTGATAAATACGTAAATACTCAAAATTCTTGTCTTAAGCTGCAGGGAGGGAGTGAGGTCTCCTTGTGATGTGATTTAATCTGACACTTACACAGTCACCAGCACTGGTTTGGGACCTGCTCCAGTGTCACATCTGTGTCAGTAAACACGTGTTGTGCCAGT